CCCGAGTGACAAGGTATTAGGGATTCATCCAGTGAAGATTCCATGCTGCGTAACCCAAGATCAGATGGAAGAAAGGCGTGAGACATCAGCACGGAGAAGGGCGAAGAGAATCGTACAAGGACAGTGTGGTCGCACGGCCTGCTAGTCTATCTGTTAGAGCTCTGGCGGTGCAGAAACTCCGCGATCTCAATCGCATGGGGCCACCCTTTCGAACACTCCATCTATCTTCGCAAGCTTCTCGGATTTATGATGTTCTAGCATGGCCACGCAAACGGCGGATATGACGAGTGGAGGTACTGCCTCTGGAGAAAATAGCATGTTGTTTTCGGAGACCTACTCACTCTAGAAACTGTATCCTGTAATGCCTGTGGAGACCGTGTGTGAGAGAGCGAATCGAGAAGCAGAAAAGGACAGTGGGCTTGTAGTTGAGTGAAGAAGGCAGTATTTGTCCATAAAGTGTCACAAAAAACGAGATTTCAGTATAGTAGTAAAGTAAATCTAAATCCGAAGAACCACTCATCAGTGATGTAAACTTAGCATCTCATTGTGGAATTCTGGAAGAACATGACTTGCGCTGGACCCTGCTTCTGAGTCGCGTTGAGGGCCCGTGCATGGCCGCTTGACTCGCGAGACACGTCGAATGCGCGTTACCACAACAAACAGACACGAACAGCACAATTCTTATCGCATCTCAGCATCACGACATCGCGACGCCCGCAGTATCTAGTCGCATGTAGCAAACATGGTCCGAACACATTCATCGTACACGGCCAGCCCCACGCGCTTCCAATCGCCCCAACGCAGTCCGGCGCGCCGCCCGTCCCAAGATGGATCACAATATGAGATGGACCTGGACGCCCTAGGCCTCAACTCGACCTTTGAGTCTACCGAACTAGAAAACAGCCATCAACCGCCAGTCGATCACGTGGATACGAGCGAGATTGAGGGGCCGGAAGACTTCACCATGAACATGACCTACTGGATGACGGCCGATCTACCGCTGGCCCAGATAAAATCACGAAAGGAGGCCAACACGAAACGACCGGTGATACGAATGGACGCCATACAAGACGGAAGCGAAAGTAGACATGCAACTGAAGTGGGCGATCCGGCAGTTGTGGTGGAGGACACGGAGCGGCGGAGAACTAATACATCTCGCACAGCCTCTCCCGCCAGGCGCCCGAATGGCACCAAGAATGAGCGCCAGCACAGTTCGCCAGCTTCCGAGAGGTCCATGGAGAACGACGAGAAGGTTCGGAGCTTTCTCAGCAACCTACCAGACACGGAGATGGAGGGCGCCCTCACAGGAACACCGCTACACGCGCCTAGACACAGCTTTCTCCAAGTCCCCCGGTCGTCACCCCCGAAAGCGCGATCGCTACAGCCCACCGTCGAGGACTACGATACACCGCGGAAGCCCACGCAAGAGACGGTTATACGGCACACTTCAGCCATTATCGATACGAGTGAGCAGGACGTGGCGCGGAATAAGATTGCAGAGCTACAACATCAGCTGGAGCAGCAAGAGTCGACTTCGAGATCGCGCATTACCGAACTTGAGACGATCCTTTCGTATGCCCGCTCCGAGCTCGAGAGCACACGTAACGACAACTACAAGCACAAGGAGAAGGTGTCGAGTCTGGAGAAGAGCTTGGAGCAGCAACGTGCAGATCACGAAGCTGCTCGCGCAGCTGCGGATGCCGAGGTGAAGGCGCGAGAAGATGCGCTGGAGACCAGGATGCATGAGTTTGGAGAGCAAATGCGCCTCCAGAACCTTACAAAGTTGGAGACTATGCTTGAAGAGTTCGAACGACAGCGAAGGGTTCTTGAACAAGCCAAGCGTCAACTCACCGAGGAGGTGGAAGACAAAGACCAGAGGCTAGAAGAGATGCAAGCAGAGCTGGTCCAGGTGCGTCAAATACACGAGCGCGAGCTACACGATCTGAAGGAAACGCAACTACACGAGTCTGGACATGAAGATGAGGATGCTGCGAAGAAACGTCTCTTGTTGGCCGATCAACTCTCCTCGGTCCAAGCACGCGCGGATGCCCTGCAATCAAGTCTCGAAACGGCCACGTCCGAAGCAAAGACAGCTCGTGAGGAAGCCCGCAGAAGAGACGATATGCGGTCCACTGTCGAAACACAGGCTCGACGCCAGACGGCCCGCATTGCAGAACTCGAGGGACAACTACAGGCGGCGAAGTTCGAAGTGGAATGCTCGCATGCTGATGTGGCAGCTAAACAACAACTGTTCCATACAAATCTCGATCTCAACTCTCGACTCCGCACATTGCAATCAGATTTGGAGGCTGCACGAAGGGAGATCACTGTAACGAACCAAGAACGTCGTCGTACAGCTGACCTTGAAGATCGTATGCGAGATCTCCAGTCGCAGCTTGACGCAGCTCGCGCAGATACAACCACGAATAAACAACAAGACCTGCATGCAGGCGAGCTGAGGGCGCGTATTAATTCACTTGAGACGCAGCTCCAATCTGCGCTTGCAGACCTAGCTGGTAAAGAAGAGCAACTTCAGCATCTTGTTGCTGCCGACAGGGAACTCGAGTCTCCCCAGTCGCAACTTGAGCTGTCCGGCACTACGAAGATGACAACGGAGGGACAACCACAGCTAGCTGAGCTCGAAACGCGAATTCGATCGTTACAGTCGCAACTGCGATCTACTCAAGCCGACCTTGCCGCGAAGGAGCAACAGATATCCGATCTTGTTGAGTCGTCAGAACAGGCCGAGCAACGTCTGAACACAGCCCAGGGTCGATTACAGAGCCTCGAAACAGGCAACACGAACCTTCGTCAACAGCTTGCGGAAGCGCATCGCGATAGTGCCAAGGCCAGAGCAGATGCGGAACGCTTTGAGCAAGACCTTGAAGATGCCAATGATCGTCTTCAGGACGCTCGCGCGGAGGCAGATCGCCGCGTAAACGACATTGAGAAGAAGCTCAACAAGATGAAGGAGCTGAAGCTTGAAGCCGAGAGCAAATTCAAAGAGCTACGCGACCAGCACGAAGACATGGTGGAAGGGCACGAGGCCATGATGGAGGATGTCCGGGACAAGGCAGAAGACGCTGTACGCAAAGCCGGTGCTCTGCTCGAGCAAGAGCGTAGCGAGAAGCGGAATCTTACCAAAGACTTGAAGCGAGCCAAAGACGAGGTAGAGAAGCTCCGCACTGCCGCTATTGCAAAGCTTGCAAAAGAGGACACAGACGACGATACTACCATCTCCTCATCCGCAACCGAGGCAAATGCAAAAGATACCGAGATCGCAAACCTCCGCGACATAATCCGCAAACAAGTCTCGGAAACCAAGAGCCTCAAATCCGAGCTCTCCGCCCTTCGCAAAGACAACAAAACCTTCAAGGCTACACCTACACCATCGTCCCAAGACACGATAGCTAGCTTGGAAGCTCAAATTTCAGCCCTCCGCTCCGAGAACGCAGCCCTTGAGACTCGTCTCGCAAATCAAGCTGCTGAAAACGCTGCCATCAACCAGCAAATGGACGAGAAGCTAGCCGCTCTTCTTAGTAAGCTTATGAAGGAGAAGGCCAAGACAGTGGTGGGCAAACGTGATGGACAGTGGACGGAGAGTGTGAGGGAGTTGGAGGAAGAAAAGAAGTTGCTGGGTAAGGTCTTGATGAGGCAATGGGGGAGAGAGGAGGTTGGCATCGATGATGAGAGGGAGGCGAAGGATGGGAAACAGGCGTATCGGTACAAGTACGTCAAGAGGTGAAAAGTTGGAGTACTCATTGCATAGCAAAGGCGTTATTGGATATTTGCGAATCAACGAATTCATGACCTGGCCTGGTTGGTCCATTCCCAAGATTCCCGCTCATCCTTCTCGATGGACGTGTATGTCCGTGCCAGCTATGCCCATGTCAAAGTGTCCTCTCGACATGAGCTCTCCATGGCCAGCCATGATACCGCCGTCCTCAGCTGTGTGCCCTCTCGTATGGGGTCACCAAAATATCATGCTCTTATAGCAGGCCCTTCCTGGCCAGCTCAACCTTCCTGCCAAACTCGCCAGTGTTCCATCCTCCCTTGCTTCCACAGATCGCGATACCGTCACCGAGTTCGACTTTGTCTTCGACGTTCTCCCATGCGCAGGGGCAGTGGTGCGGGAAGTGGACGCAAGATAGGGTACCGGGGCAGAGGTAGTGGGAGCATTGTGCTGTGGGGAGTTGTTAGTAAAGGTTGTTTGTACTGCTTGTTCCTGTCATTGTAGAAGGCGCATGCGCGACAGAAGTGTTGTAGATAGCTACGAGGCTGGGAACACAAATGCGATGTAATGCAAGAGAACGTAAGAGTGCAACATACCGGCTTCGTACTGCGCCTGATACCAACTAGCATCACTCCTCACATTCTGCGGCTCCTGATGTTGCTGTCCTCCACCACCACCGAACATCTGATCGAAGAAGCCGAATTGCGCACTCGAGCCCCAAATAAACGATGCGAGGACCGCGAGAACAACTTGGAAGCGCGCCATATTCGCAACAGTATCTCGTGTGTATGCGACAAGCGTAGAGTAACTTGTGTGAAGCGTAGGTCAAAGTGGATGATGTGTCGCTTCCCCCAATCCAATCAATGCAAACGAGCCAAACAAGCTGCAGCAAAGAGTCCGGAAAGTGGCAGGGGTGTGGTGTCTTGGCACAAACCATGGAAAGCTCGGTGGTCCGCAAAAAACTCCGCCTAGAATTTCGAGCTCGAGATTATCGCGACATCCTTACGCGACACTACTACCCACACCTCACATCACCTTATCGCATTCGCTTCAGACGCAATCTTATCTTCTACCGTAAATTTTAGGGATACTCAATACCGGAATGTGAGTTTCTCTCCTACAGCCGGCGCGACGCTGCATTTGCACACGGCGCGCGACCATCACCACCACCTCAATCCCAATCCCAACCACAGGCGCAGCATCCTCCCCTTCAGCACAAAAAGCCCTCCTTGAATTCAAGAGCGCAAAGGCTGACAAAGCTTCTAGCATGCATCTCATGTACATCCCCGACCCAGCGAACCCAACCAAGCGCATCTACACGCTGAAAAAGGTCATCGACGGCGAAGTCAGCAAGAGCGCGCACCCGGCCCGTTTCTCGCCCGACGACAAGTACAGCAGGCACAGGGTTACGATTAAGAAGCGCTATGGACTGCTTTTGACGCAGCAGAGTATGTTTGAACCATGCTATGGAGATACACCCGGGATGGGGGTGCGGATAGGGATAGTGGGCTAACAGGAAGCAGAGAACAAGGTCGCTGAGAAGAACTAAGCGACGCACACCACGCAGTAACAACGGCATTTTACGAGCGGAAGATAGCAGGGGGGGTTATGGTGTGAGATATAGGAGGAGATAAGGCGATGTGATGGGATGAAAGATGAAAGATGGAGGATGGAGGATGTGAAGGCATGACAAGGGCGTTCAACGGCGTATTGGCGAAAGAAAAGTCTTGAGACGCGCGCCGATTCAGTTTATGGCGGTACGAGGCGCCGAGATCCCTTCTTCAGTGGTTCAAAGTCAGGGTTTTCAATGAGATGGTTATAATCACTTGATCTTTCGGGGTGCTGCAATGTGCTCATGTGCTGATGCCAGGATCTGCGAGGTGTAGACGTCGCAACGTCTCCGCCTGAATAGGGAGTATGATCGATGAAATGAATTCCTCGCTCAAAAGGTTACTTGAAAGCTACAGAAATGATTTGTATTAGAGCCAAGCTATACATGCATCGCGACATGACAGAGCTGGCCTATAGGTATAAAGATGCAAGGAAAGAAAAGATATCTAAAAAGAAGAGGGAGAGATAAAAGAAACAAAGACGCCACACACGCTATCTATCTACCTCAAGCCACCACCTACAACGTACTACTCCTCCATCTCCTCCTCTCCATCGACAACCTCTCAATCGCCATCCTCCTGACCACCTCCTCGACATCCGCAAACTGCTCGTAGAACTTGAGACTCTCTGGATTCGCCAACGTCCCACTCGGCTTGATCTTCTTGCCTGAGACGATTTGCTTGACGGGTAACTCGACTTTCTTCAGGTTCACTGTAGTCTGTGACATACGTTAGCATCGCGCTCCCAGAAGACTGTAAGACAAAGAAAGAGCCAAAACTCACCGGAATATCCCAAGTCTGAAACACAAACCGCGGAACATGTCTCCGACTCCTCTCCTCCGCAATCTTCCTCTTGACCCTATCCACCAACCCATCCGTGTACTCGTACCCCTTGTTCATCTTCAGAAACAGCATCACACTCTCATCCGCATCACCGGGTCTCCGTTGCCCAACACAGATACTATCTGCAATCTCAGGGAAATGCGTCTCAACAACACTGTAGATATCCGCAGAGCCAAATCGTACTCCACTGGGGTTCAGTACGCCGTCTGCGCGGCCAAGGAAGAGGATTTGGCCGGTGATGGGATGCATCTGGATGAAATCGCCATGTGTCCACACGCCCGGGAAACGGGTAAAGTACGCAGATTGGTAGCGTGTACCTGCCGCGTCGTCGCCGTAGAAGTAAACAGGTTGGTTGGGGAAGGACGCCGTGGCGACGAGTTCGCCTGGCTCGCCATCTGGTACTGCGCATCCAGGTCCGGATTCGATGAGGGAGTCGTAGACTTGGACTTTCATGCCTAGACACGGGCCCTGGCAACCGCCACTGTACACGGGCTCGAGCGGGTTTTCGATGCCGAAGCGACCGGCGATGTCGGTGCCGCCGGAGATGTTACGGAGGTGGACGTGAGCGGGGAAACCGGTGTCGTAGAACCATTCGAATTGCGCTTCGGGGAGGACCATGCCGGTTGTTCCTACGCTTTTGAGGGACTTGAAGGGGAAAAGGGTGCGGGGGGTGATGTTGCGCTTTTGTAGCTCGTGGAGAAATTTGGGCGAGGTGCCAAAGTCGGTTACGCGTTGTTCTTCGAGGATGGAGAGGAAGGTTTCGGGTGTGGGTTGGAAGGGCGAGCCGTCGTAGAGGATGGAGCGGGTGCCGAAGAGGCAGACTTGGACTGAGACGACGTACATTATCCAGCCAGTCTGCGTCGATTAGTCAGATGGGAGGTAAGATAGGGGTGGGGGAGGACTTACGGTTGTGTACTGTAGAACGACGCTTTCGGGCGTCATCTCCTTGTGCAGTATACTCTCCTTCGCGACATTGATGAGAACGCCACCAGTGGAGTGCACGATACACTTCGGCACGCCCGTCGTTCCACTCGAGTACACAATCAGAAACGGATCCCTGAATGCCACCCGCTCGAACGTCAATGTGTTATCCCCTCCAGCCACTTGCAAAAATTCGTCCAACCGCACCGTCCTGGTCAGATCTGCGACATCGGCGGGTCTTCCAGGAAACCTAGGCTGCACAACAACACCCTCAAACTCTTCAACACCTCCACTCTCCATCCCCGCAACGATCTGCTCAATTTTGGGTCGAAGGTCGAAGGTCTTGCCGTTGTATACCGTCCAGTCATCCACAAAAACGTACTTGGGCCGAATCTGCAATAACCGCTCGAGAATGCCCTTGGCACCCATATCTGTACTGCTTGAGCTGAAAAGACCGCCCACAGCAACAGTCGCCATGAATGCGATGAAAGTGTCGAAACTCGTTGATGCAATGACAGCGACACGGTCCCCCTTCCCAACTCCTCTAGCCCGCAGCGCATTCGCAAGGACACCAACTCGTCGTCGCAGGTCACCCCATGTCAGATGGCGGATCTCTGTGTTTCCCTCGCGGATTTCTGTGAGAGCGATCTTGGTTTCTTCTTTGTGGGTTGTGGTGCGTACGCCAGGGTAGGTGGGGTCGGCGGTGAAGAGGATGTTTTCGGCAAAGTTGAGATATGTACCCTGGAACCAGTGGGGATTTGTTTCCATTGGTAGCGATGTATCGACGACGGTTGTGTAGTTGCCGGAGTAGATGAGGTTGCTGGTTTTCCACATGTCTTCCCAAAAGTCCGTGCGTGAGGGGCCGACGCTCCAATTGTAGAGATCGCGGAAGGTCTGGAGAGCATGTCAGTGATGTCCAACCGTCATTACAATCGTTGGCTTCATCAAAACGAGGACGAAGGTGTATGGCATGCGACGGGTCTGGTTGATTTCCATGTTCTTGAGTCCGTGTGCTCCAAGTATGAAGCACAAGTCCTGCCTTCTGCTGCCATCTGCAACGGCCTCTTGACTAAACAAAAGAACATGCCTGACGCGCACGTTGCTTCACGCAGACATGCACCCCTCTCTGTATTACCAAGTCCGCAAGCAAAACATACCTGCATCTGCAACCCCCTTTTCGCATTCGTATCCTGGATAAACTTCCACATCGCTGTAGACTTCGGATCTGGATGCTCCCACAGCTTGCGCGGCGTAGACACTGCCGCCACCATCATCACCGGTGCCTGGTACTGGACCTCAGTCTGCATGACCATAGTCGCCATCTTCTCTTTGTTGGAAGAGCAGGTATGAGAATCGCGAAGGAATATAAGGAAAATGGTGGACTCGAAACGAACTGGAAACGAAGGGAAAAAAGCGAATGTATGTTGGAGCGAGTGTCACACTTGTCAATCCAAAGGCATAATCATCGTAATATGAGCATCTCGTCCCAACGATGCAAAGTCACATGCAGAGCGCTTGTTGTTGCATATTTCCTTCTTCTGCCCCAACAATCGGCATCTACCACGCGGGGATGCGAGCGCTTTGAGTAAACAAAAGGTACAAGAGTCTCGAACAAGACGCGCCAAGTACGCGGCTAGGAACTTAAATCCATCGATTTCCACGTTTAATCCATGAGATCTGCGAAAACGCACCTTGGTCGTCAGGTACAAAAGGGAATGCCGTGGACGTTCAGGGTTTTCGATGTACAGATTCGTCGTCGCACAATTGATATGTAGCCGCCCATGGCTTGTCGCTTCCCCTGCTGCTGCCTCGGTGATGTCGCCGATGAGTTGAGGTCATGCGGGGAAGCTTGGATACGGATCGTAGGTATCCGAAGCGAACGTTTTTCGTTATACACTATTGCTTTTGTCGCTTATCGGGTCTTATCTGGACGTTTCTGTTGAGAACTAGATTTTGGCCTCGATTGAGTTACTCCTTTGCTGTTCCTGAAGATGATACTGTAAGGTTGTAGGTGGTGCGCAGTCAGTCAAGGTCGCCTTGTCAGTTGCGGGTGTCTGCGTCTTCTGTGTTACTCATTGCGCGCGAGCTGAAGCCAACAAAGCGGCCAGAAGGCGAGCACTTTGCATTCGGGGTCATGATCGGTTGACCATGCGACCGCGACTAATTGTGCGATAGCACGTGGCAGTTGCCAGTGCGCGCGCCTGCGTGATGAATCATTGAGATGGCTGTGAGTGCACCGTGTAGATGAACACTTAAGTCGTCACCAACCGCACTGCTTGACTTCAGTGTCGTGCGACTGTTAACGACAAGCCATAAAGATACAGTCGCAAGCTGTTGCTGTTCGACTGTCGATCTGCCTGCACTATCGTCAATGTCCAGGATATCTGCTACCCTGACCCGGGCGATACATGAACCGGCTAATCTTCGATCCCTGCCGACTGTTGTAATATCGGTGTCGCTATGTCTTAGATGTGGTTGCTTGCGCCATCCACGAGTCTTGTTCTGATTGGTGCAACTTACCCCACGATGGTGGTCAAGACACTGCGACCGGTACAGCTATGCCGCGATGTCGGTCGATGATACTATACGTGAAACTCGCTTCCAAGCAAACGCTGACTGATGGTGTGCGAACAATATTACGACCGATGATCAGATGTTCGAGAAGGTTTCTGCTTAGCCGTGGGTGTTGGCTGCGATGTTCTTGGGCTGGCCTGCCGATCCCGACTGACGGCTTCTCATTAATTGCGTGGTTCGCCGTTCAGATGAAGTAGCTCGCCGTTGATGGACAAGCGTCAATCGCTCAAATTCCACTGATATTTTTCCGACCCGTCTTACCCAGCAATCAACTGTCATGTTAGCGGTACACCCCCACGGAGTATCTTGCTTCTCAAACATGACGGAGCGATTGCTGCGGCTGTAATACAGGCCTACAGGCGTCGCAAATGATCCAGGATCAGTTGAGAAATGTCCAGAATAATTCGGCGCACCGCGAGTCGTCTGTCAGCACAACCTGTGGATGCCTGTGCTCCCAGATCCTTGAGCTTGTCACCTCCGTTGGTAGTACGGCTGGAACACAAACTGGTGCTCGATCGCGGATCGCTGCGTCAAAGTAAGACCTTACATCAGACAATACCTGTGCGGCTCCACGGGGCCGAATGTTGGTGTATGTGTTGAA